GATTTTTTTATTTTTAATTTTATTTTAATTTTTGATTGTTATGATATAGAATCAGATGCTGAGGTTGTTGATTTGAATTTTGCAGACTATATTTTGTATTTTTTTTCTCTTTTCTCTTTTTTTTTTTTTTCCTTGATCCTAAACGTATTCTGTAAACTAAGCAAAAAGTGATTATTAATCAATTAAATTAATTAATATTTTGGATCATGGGTTCATCTGTCTTTCTCTGCCGTATGCACCGGCGACCGGAACATCTTCGCTCCTGGAGAACAGAATGATAAGTTCATAGCTAAAAATATTTTTATGTTAATAGGTTGCCATAGAATCAATTAATTAATTTTTTTGCAATTAAACAAAGGTCGTCATTGTTATTTGAACTAAAGACTAAGTTGATAGTATAAAGTTTCTCAACTGAATTTTAATTTTATTTGAGTTGCAAAAAAATTAGGATCCCATAAAAAAAATTCATATAATCAATAGCCTAAATTATAATAGTTCATATAATCAATAGCCTAAATTATAATTCAACAGATTATCATTCAAGTCCCAATAAAACTTTCAATTTCTAAAATTAGTCAAATTTCAATTAATCATATTGAATTTCATAAAATTCAACTCAAAAAATAATAATAATAATAATAATATTTTCATTCTTACCAAATTTGAAAACATAAAATTTTAAATAAAGTGAAATTATCATTTATTATTATCATTATAATGAAATTAATAAGTTTTGCTTTTCAGGGAACCGGAAAAAATAAAAAGAATGGGAATATCTTTGAGCGTTGGAAGTAAGCATATTCACCTATTTTTTTAGAACAAAAAAAAAAAAAAAGCATTTTAATTATTAGAATGGGTAAAATTTCAACCGAAAATTGTTTTTATTTTGAGTTAATTTATTTCAGATGTTTTGACTGTCAAGGATTTGGGCTGAAAAGTTTTAATTATTTATTTTCTGTTCAATCAATAAGAGAAAATTACAACAAATTTAATGCTGAAAAGAGTTTAAAAGGTGTGTACGTAGGAAAATAGAACTAGATTCTATAAAAATTTTATGAAAATTATTTATAAATTCATATATTTATAAATGGAAATGGATTTACAAATTCATATATTCATATTGGATACAAATGGAAATCTTTTTGCAGTTCTACTTTTTTAGTTTTATAAAATTAGTTAGAGTAAAACCAAAATTTATTAGAATTGATAGAATTCTAAAATTTAGAATAACTGCTCTTTGCACAAGTTGTTTTGTTACTATATATTATATTTTTTACTACCCAAATTTTGAAGTTGCTAGCGAAGAAAGAAGTTTCAAAGGTGTGTTACGGGTAGGAAATATAGAAACTAGATTCCTATAAATAAATTTGATGGAAAAATTATTTATAAACTTGCAATATATTTGATAAATGGAAATGGATTCTACAAAAAGGTGTGTACGTAGGAAAATAGAACTAGATTCTATAAAAATTTTATGAAAATTATTTATAAATTCATATATTTATAAATGGAAATGGATTTACAAATTCATATATTCATATTGGATACAAATGGAAATCTTTTTGCAGTTCTACTTTTTTAGTTTTATAAAATTAGTTAGAGTAAAACCAAAATTTATTAGAATTGATAGAATTCTAAAATTTAGAATAACTGCTCTTTGCACAAGTTGTTTTGTTACTATATATTATATTTTTTACTACCTTTGTTCCATAATATTTATCATATTTAGAATTTCACGTCTCTTAAGAAAATTATTAAATTTGTTTAAGCTAGAATAAATTATTGAGTAAATTAATCATATTATTCTTAATTTAATATTAATTCTCAAAAAAAAACCATTAAATTAAAGTAATAATTACTCGTTATATACACTATTAAATTGTTAATTGTTTTAAGTATGGTGATGGATGATTGTTTTGAGTTAGTTTCTAATCTCATCAATGTTAATATGAGTTGACTAGGAAGACGAGTGAATAAAATTACCCATAGCTTAGCTAAGATAACTATTTCATATGCTAATTTTCAATTGTGGTATGAGCTTCAAAATTGAAGCTTTTGTTCTCGATGATTCTATTACTGAATAGAGCTTCTATTCTATATATAAGTAGCTACCAACGATGTATTAATTGAGGTGGTTAGCAATTCTACTGTTCGTGAAAATCCTTCTAAAGCTTTCATGGAATTGGAGACCATATAGCCTATTAAGGAGTTTTTTGTCCGACAAATAGGGGAGAATGACTTTTCATTTTCCCTCCACATCATTGGATCAATTAACCTATAGGCTATTATTGTATTTTACTACATAAGGATATTTTCATCATCACACATTTTAACAATAAAATCAGGGAAAGATAGATAGAAGAATTTAATAGTTTAACAAAATTAAATCTCAGAAACCATTAATTAATATTGATCAAATGTAGGGACGAGTTAGTTAGTTTGATCAAACCTTAGAGATGAATTAATTATTTTTCCTTCTCTTAAATTAATAAAAAATGAGAAAAAAAATATTGTTTTGAAGTAACATAGACATTGACGATAGAGTACAAATATAAATATAGACTAGTCCTAAACCTGCGTGATGTACGGATTGTATAATTTTCTATTTTTGAAAATTAAATTGAATGCAATTTTCAAGAAAAAAATTTTAATTTATATTTGCATTGCTTTAATTTAAATAATTTGCTTATGTAACTTTGATTATATACTTTGCGCAAATTGTACTTTTGCTTAGGTTCTTTTTTAAATTATTCAAATATTAAACTGAAATATTAATTAACACAATTAATTATTATAAGCAAATTTGTTATTCAATTGATAAATTTAGTTAATTATTTATTTTTTTGTATTCTCGTATATTGAAATTAAATGAAGTATAAGAATATGTAATTTTAATGAAATAAATTTTAGTGTTGAAATTAATATTTTAATTCTATTTTTTAATCTAATTATATTACTTAATTAATTATTATTAACTATGACTCTATTATAACTCCATTTTTTATGGAATAAAAACTATTTAATAAAAATTTATATTTATTATATATTAATTAAATAAATTTGTAGTGTTTGAAATTCAATATTTTTAATTCTATTCTTTGAATCTAATTGGTATTACTAACTAAATTTAATTAATTGATGATAACTATGACTCCCTATTATAATAACTGCCGCATTTTTTTTGATGGAATAAAAACTAGTTTTAATTCAGAAAAAATCTTATATTTACTCTATATTTAAAATTATAAAAATAAAATCTATATAAATAAAACTATATTAATATAGTTTAAAATAGCACACCATTAAATTTAATAGAAAAACATTTAATTTTTATTTAATATAAAAGATAATGGTAAGTTATACATGATAAAGTAAAATGGTAATGATTCAATCATTTTTTATATTCTAAAACCATGTTGGCATTTAGTCTTTAATACTAAATATATATATATTATATATAATATTATATAAATACAAGTATGGTCATAATAATACTACAGAAGCATTCAATTTCAACAAAATCAAAATCGCTCCTGTAATGCAAAAATCTGAAATGATATGAAAAACGCAAATTGAATCAAATGAATTATGATAATTTATATATCAGCATTCAATTTAATCAAATCAAATCGCTCTTAATTGCAAAATTGAATGTTGAAAACCAAATTGAATCAAATGATTATGAATAATTGAATATGAATTAAACTAAAATATTTAAGTTTTATTGATAGGAAACTACACTGAAATTAAATTAACAAATTTAACTTTTTAAAGGAACCGATTCAACTAAAAATCTAATTGAATTGGAAAAATACCGTCGATTGGGTTTGGTTTTTCAATTTGAATTGATATTTGCATAGATTCTTTACAAAAACCAGTTATTCCGATTTATTTGATTTAAAAAAAAAAAATAAAACCAAAAATTGATTAACCAATTTAATAACTAAATTAAATCAATTTTTCTAGATAGTCTAATCAAATTTATTTAGTTTAGTTTAAATTTTCCATTAGAAACCAAATATGCTTGCTATTACTCGGGATGAAAGTGAGACGTTTCCGAAAATGAGATGACATCCGTGAAATTTCAATTATTCATATTTGCATTCATTTAAAATTTTATTATCCAAAATTTTATTATCTATACTCATCTTAAATCCGTGTAAATACATGTTTAAGTATCTATTTATTTATGTCCAAAAATCCATTTAAAGTACCTTTGAACGAGTAAGGGCCGTAGAGTATCTTTAAATTTTAAAATATCTAAATCCGAATTTATCTAAAATACATTTTTTATTAATAATGGGTAGAATATTTATGGACACCTATTATTAAACTCGTTTAATACAACGAGTACTTAGAAACCTATATACATATACCCTGCGCGTATCCATTATCGATTTATCATTTCATTCTTTATATCCGTCATAAAGTTATTTATAATTATTCACATCATGGGTAGAATATTTATGGACACCTATTATTAAACTCGTTTAATACAACGAGTACTTAGAAACCTATATACATATACCCTGCGCGTATCCATTATCGATTTATCATTTCATTCTTTATATCCGTCATAAAGTTATTTATAATTATTCACATCCTCTTAAAATAGATTGATTTAAACAGATTGGAGTAGATGAAAACCTAATATATCCATACCGCTTTCATATCCGACTGTTACATAAAATATAAAATAAATTGCGCTTTCATATCCGACTGTTACATAAAATATAGAATAAATTGCGATAATATTAAATAGATAGGAAAAAAATTTAATTAGATTGGGCCTATGACTTCACTTATAAAATAAACAATAAAACTAAAGATTTAAGAAAAGTGTATGGTCAGAATAACGTGGTTATAATAAAAATTCTAAATTTTTTCCCGTCAAAATGAACACCAAGCTCCGTGATAAATACTATTAAATAGGAAGTAAAAAAAAAAAAAAAGTACAAATATACAAAAAAAGAAAATATTAGGAAAATCATTAAGGACCTTTCACCAATTGGATGTGGTGGAAGGAAGAACTCACGTGACACCGTGAAGGGTTCGGTGACTGAGAGACGGTGAAAACAGAAATGAGAGTAAAAAAATCCTCCATCTCTGTCGAAAAAAGCGGACGAGGAAAGGTGATAAGAAATGGCAGCGGAAGATTACGAGCAACTAAGCAATAACGGCGACAACGACAGGATCTCGGAATCGCCGTACTGCTCTCAACTCCACTTAAATTTCCATTAGCTGAATGTCGCAGAACCAATGTCTATGCAATTCTTGGCCGATCGCCATTCTCCTCTAAATCCGATATTAAAGTTGTCTATAAACGCCTTGCTTTGAAGGTATAGCTTTAAATTTCTTGAGCAAAGCAGTTATTAGTTAATTAATTAGTGATAGCTCTGCTTAAGTTAAACTTAATTGCAGTATCATTTTCCTGGGCGAGATAAACCTTTTAGAAAGATTAAATTGGCATACGAGGTAAGCATTTTGTTTATTTGGTTGAATTGGTGGTTTAAATTATTAAATTTTATTCTAAATTTGATGAATTTCATAAAATTTTAGGAAATTAGTATATACTTCTAAAGCTACATTTTGCTTTTTATTCTAAATTTGATGAATTCATAAAATTTTAGGAAATTAGTATATACTTCTATAGCTACATTTTGCACCTTAGCTTAAGGGTTCTGTTTTTCTTTTTATTAATCTTCCTTCTTCATTTTTTTCCTTTCTGCACAGCCTAATGCTAAAGTTTGAAGAACAAGAGCTCCAACCAGCAAAATTTTAGGAAATTAGTATATACTTCTATAGCTACATTTTGCACCTTAGCTTAAGGGTTCTGTTTTTCTTTTTATTAATCTTCCTTCTTCATTTTTTTCCTTTCTGCACAGCCTAATGCTAAAGTTTGAAGAACAAGAGCTCCAACCAGCAAAGGATTATGATGAATGGGGGATGGGATTTGAAGGTGGGATTCCTGGAGTATACATTCTAACTTCATTTCTTTGCTTTTTTAAAACCTTCCACTTTTTCTGTAAAGTTTATGAATTCATTTGCGTGTTGCCTATTTCTGAAATCCTGAAAAGAAGACAATATAATTTGCAGACTTTGGTAAACAGAAATAAAAAAATAACTTTCAAAAAAAAAAAAAAGAAAGGAAAATTTGTCCAAATGTTCCAGAAAATAATTTTAGCTATTTGCATAATGAAATAAGAAATTTGATTATATAATCTTTTCTTTTCATTAAGTTGTTAACCTTTCTCTAGAAGGGGTTAAAGCTGTCAATTATATCTGTCGTATGCCAAGAAATATATTAATCTCCCCAACTTTTAGTATGCTTGGATTTGCATGATAGGAAATATTACTTATCTTGAATTTTACTCACAAATTAGTCACATTCATTGTTTATGAACAGTAACGAATGTGGTGCTTAAGATATGACAAGGAATCCTTGATCTAGAAGCTCATTGTCTCGAGTCTTAATGGGCAGGTACAATAAGGTCTTCAAATCTGACATTAACCAAATAACTAAAATGAAATTAGGAGATTCACAAACACTTACCTTGTTGTTGTGAATGCAGAATGCAAACTCTTATGAATAATACATGGTATAAATCCACTTATCAAATGAGCTAATTCCCATTAAGCTTAGTTTTGGTCTTTTACCTGTATTGGATATTTTTCATGACGTGCTGTTATATATGTTCTGTGCTAAAATTTTTAAAGATTGTTGTGTTGTGCAAGTGTCATTTCCAAAGTTTCTGTTTGAACTTTGGTTAATCTTTCATGTTGCAATTGCAGACATGTGAAATGGGCACTTAACCCTTGTTATTTGCATTAATGAAAGCTACAATGAAAGGAAAGCAATCACACAACAACATCAACCATTTAAGTCTTAATTATTAGTAGTACTGTGAAGGAGGCTAAGAGACAGCAGCCATGAATTCTTTATCAGATTCAAGAGCAGTCATCGAATCTGGGAGAAGGCACACCTCCAAATCCACACTTCCACCACCTTCACGTCCTGGGTAGGCTGACACCTTGCCACAGAATTTATGTGCATACCCACTACGAAGAGTCAAAGCTTTACCCAATCCCAATTCACAGCCATACTTATTGAAACGTGGAGAACTTCCGAAGTGCACACCATAAAGACCAAAAAACTGGCCAAGATGATAAATAATGGGCGATTTAATCCACGAATCAATCCGGTCACGAAACTTTTTATCTGTTTGATTAATCACAGCTTGGTGCAGCAGCCAAGCTGCCCATCCAAGATTCTGCTCTAGCAGTTCACCTCCTGTGGTAGAAGCTGAAACTGCATCAACAAAGTTACCAAAGTAGTTTGGTGATAAAGGTGGGCTCAATCTTGATCTGTTATTGCATGCTAAGCTGCAATGAGTTACTTGATCATGAGGTATGACAAAGCTGCCCATTGGCCAAATTCTGCTCTTTAGGGCAAGGTTCACCAGTCGCTGTGGTGAGAAGCTGCGAAACTGCATCAACAAAACGTTACCGTAGGAAGTAGCTTGGGTTGATGAAAGGTGTGGCTCAATCGTATGATCTGTCTATTGCAATGACTAAGCGGCCTGGCAAATGAAGCTGTACGTAGATGATTCATGAGGTACTATGGCACGTGCACGGGGTTATGTCATTTGCACACGAGGTGGGGTGAGGATAATGACTGGCTGTAGCTTTACATAAATGCGAGATACCAAGACTGGAAGGAGGAAATCTAGTCGGTATTGTACCTCTGTAGTGTTGAGGATGGATGGGCTTTTACTTTGAGGTTAGTTAGAGACGCGCAATAGAGATTCTGCTGAAAAGATGGAAAATATTTCAAGAACAGGGTGCCTTCAAACTGGAAACTAAGAACTGCTCGTGGAGTGATTAAAAGGAAGACTTGTTGACTGTCCCATCCAAGATTCTGCTCTAGCAGTTCACCTCCTGTGGTAGAAGCTGAAACTGCATCAACAAAGTTACCAAAGTAGTTTGGTGATAAAGGTGGGCTCAATCTTGATCTGTTATTGCATGCTAAGCTGCAATGAGTTACTTGATCATGAGGTATATGACGTGCACGGGTTATGCATCTCCACATAAATGCAGATAAAGACTGGAAGGAGGAAATCTTGTCCGTATTGTACTCTGTATTTGCTTTTACTTTGAGTTTAGCAATAGATTCTGCTGAAAAATGAAATATTCTTTCTTTAAGCAGGGGTGCCTCAAATGGGACTAAGAACTGCTCGTGGTGAGTAAAAGGAAGATTGATTATAGGACCACAATTGTCAGGAAACCAGCGCTTCAAAACTGGTGGCTGCGAGATTGGAACATGATCATCTCTCTGGGCTTGAAAAATTTCAGACCAAGTGTTCAAAAAATGCCAATAGGAGGTGCCATCACCAATGACGTGGTTGAAAGAACATCCGATGAAGATTCCATCAATTAGTTCTGTAACTTGAATTGTCAGCAACGACCGGACATGACCTTCATGGTTGAGAGCTCTATGATGGTCAAAGAAAGATTGAATAACCGATGGAACATATGTAGGTGAAAGAATATCTGATACTGTCATTTCAACAGTTGCGTGTACAAATCGAGCACCTGGGCTATTGCTGCAATCCACATAGATTACATATGAAGGGGGATCTTCAGACTTTGAAGTTGCGAGGCGACCTGCAAGTGGGTAGAAATGGACAAGCGTAAGAGCTAGGGAGTGTTTGAGCTTCTCCAAGAGATCAAAGATCTTGAAGTCTTCCTGTGGAGTTGGTTTGGCAAAGAGCAGGCCTTTTTGGATGTAGTAGGCAGAGACCATAGCAAGATCACATGGGGACAAATAGTATGGATGTTTTGATTCTTCCGTCATGTGTTGGGGCTTTATGAAGGATTCTGAGATGTGCTGAACTGCTGTTGAATTCATTGCTACAAAGTTACTAATAATTCCCGATTGGCCTTAAAGATTTGCAGCTTCTGCTGAAAATTAGCGTAGCAGCTTCAACTGGAAGGATAAAGAGAAGTATGTAAAAATAACAATAAAATAAGAGCGATGGCTATGGAAAAAGAAGAGGGTAAGGACAAGGAAGGGGTGAGGTAATATTGTGAAATCCAATGTTATAGTATTTTTTCTCATATCGAGGCAGTCACTGTGGTTTAATAAAATGTGCCGGTCAATACGAATCTTTTAATAAAATTCTTTTGATTTTCTCATTCGTTTAAATTACTGTATCTTTTTCTAGGAAGTAGACCTCATGAAGCACGTTCTTTTTTAATATTGTTTCTGTGCGCTTCAAAATGGATTTTTCAGCCTGATGGATTTGCAATTGCTTTATATTAATTTTTTATTTGATTGCATTTTATTATATCCAATTATTGTCATACTAAAATATAATTTTATTGATTCTTTCAATGATACTAATATGCAAGTTCAAATTGATCATGGAGAAGAATTTACTAATGTGTGCTTCTGCTCTCCTGAAGACACATTTCATATGACTCTAAATTCAAGCAATAAAGAGGGCAAGCTTCTGCTCTTGTTCTTGCAGCAATTAATTATTCCTATTGATTTATCATACAAAAAAAAAGATCACATATGCATTCACTACATAATTTAATCAAAGATCACATATCCATTTACTTTAATAAAGTTAAAAAAAGAAAAAGAAAAATGACTAATTAAAACATAAAATATGTATAAGAAGAAGAGTAAGAACAAGTTTATAGTTATTCATAGGCCATAGCTAATGTTTTTCAGGTTTTAATTTGCAGATCCTTAATTACTTATAAGGTATTCAATAGAAATTTGACACTCCAACTTGTTCTAAATATATACTTCTTCACTTCTGAAGTCAACTTTGGAGGCCAACTGGACTTTGGATGGGCTAAACGGCCGTTGGCATTTATAATTATTAGTTATTTTTGTAAAACACTATAAAAATAGCATTTACACCGATCAAAATACCAAAAACTACTAAAAAAAATTGTTACAGACCACCTCATTTGAAAAAATGACATTAACCCTTTCTCATGGAAGAGTGGGCTTATATGCCTAAAATTATGGTTGTTGGGAGAGAGATGGGTGGAGTGATAGTAGGAGAGATAATCTCCCAGTATATAATCATATCTCCTCAAATTACATATGACTTGCACACCTAATTACCACAGCTCCTTGGAGATATACATGTAGATCACTTGCATAATTATTAAGTTATCTATCAGTAAACACAAATAAATCCATCAAATTATTATTATTCTTTGCCTTCCTACATTTCACAATAGACTCGGTGGAGTGGAGGTAAGTCAGAATAAAATGAGCTTGGTTTACTTTTCCAGCATAGAAGAATTCTTTTTATATAGGGAGAGGGTATTAATTGCTTTAGCAAACAAGAAGCCTCTGCTTTTCAGTTCGGCTTACAAAAGATTGAAGTTCCATCTGAAAGGTGAAGAGTGCAATTCTTCGGAGCTAAGCAGCAGTTGCATCTTGGGCTAAGTTTCTCCTCTCCTGAAGACTCGCATGTCATATACTCTACATCCAAGCAGTAAAGAGGGCAAGCTTCTGCTCTTACACTTGCAGCAATTATCCCTATTCATTTAACATACAAAAAAAAAAAAAAAAAAAAGCTAGGATCAGTTTGCATCTTTTTGGGCCCTAGTTTCTTCTCCTCTCCGCTGAAGAGCTCGGCATGTCATGATTGTCTACTACCGAGTCCAAAGCCAGTTAAAAGAGGGCAAGCTTGCTGCTCTTACCACTTAGCAGCAAATTATCCCTATTCATGATTACATACAATAAAAACAAAAAAAAAAAAGAAGGAATTGATGCGATGGAAAGGACGGCATACAAAAAAAAAAAAAAAAAAAAAAGGAATTATGGATGAAAGACCGCATACATAATTTATAATGAAAGATCACATACATATTTGCTAGTAAAAAAAAAGTAAAAGAAGAGCAACTAAAACATACCATATAAAATGAGAAGAGGAAGAACAAGCAATTTACTGTTAGCCATTGCTAATATTTTCTTAGGTTTAAATTTTCAGATTGGGAAAGTGATATATATAAGGTATTGAAGAGAAGTTTGACTTTCAACTCTTGCTATATGTCAACTATAGGAACCAATAGTTTGTTGCTTAAGTGTAGGGAGAGTTGACTAGAGATAAATGGTGCTGTTTAAGTCAACTTTGGAGGACAAAGAGGTTTTGGCCAAGCTAAAAAATAGATTGGGGCAATTATTTTGTAGCCCTCAGAATTTAGTCAAGTACATCAAAAAGGACCTCGACTTTTAAAAATTACACTGTGCAGTTCTTACATTATCAATTTGTTGTAATAGTTAGTTCAATTATTAATTTTTTAGTTCGTTCACTACGAAAAGTAAAAAATTCCTCTATGTTAGAAGGAAGATAAATGAATAGTGTTGAACAAGGGAAAATAATACAACAATTAAAAAATGAGAGTAAAAGATGAAGTTGGAGGAGGAATTTATTTGACTTTCTTAATTTTTATTAGTAAATTAATGTAGTTAATAGAAAATTATAAAATTTTTAATAGAAGAACCTTATAGTGTGGTAGATACATAATCCAGGAACTAGATAATGTAATTTTAAAAAAAAAAGGACTACTAATATATCTGACCAAACTTTATGGATTCTAAAATAATTATCCTTAAATTTATTTTGAAGGGAACAAATATTATATTATATACGCCATCGGTCCCATTTTATTTGCTTATTATTATTATTTTTTTATATTTTAAAATGTTTACAAAATTTTTAACTTTATATATATAAATAATTATTTTTTCTATGATAACTTTTATGATATTTCATTATCTAATGATTTTTATTAATATCTTAATAAATTATAGATTAAAAAAAATAAAATAATTTTTAATAATTAAATTTTTAATGTGTATGCTTTGTCAAAATATGCAGATAAAATAAAAGAAAGGAAATATATACTAAAACGGAAACCCAGTTCACTATTCATAGAATATTGAATTGACAACCTAACCATCTCCTTTTTATGCTGTTCTATTTTTGTCCTTTTAGTTTCAATATCATTGATTTTCACCGCCTGCAATCCTTTATATGGCTATTCTAGTTTCTTTGTCCTTTTAACACGTGGCATAAAATTATATTCTAGTTTCATACTCTGTATAGAAGTATTATGACTTACGCTTTTTTCAATGTTTGCTTTTATGTTCAAGACATTCATAACTACAATAATTTTAGAAATTAAATTGATTCATTAACTTTAAATTTAGAAGTATTTATGGAAACTTAACGCTTTTTTTTCAATGTTTGGCTTTTAATGTTTCAGACAATTCATAACTACAAATATTTAGAAAATTAAATTGATTCATTAAACCTTTAAAATTAAGTGTCATATCAATATATTTTTTTGTTGATCTTATGTTTTATTTTATTTTATCATAGTCTAGCATTAGAACGTTATATTAACCGTTTTTCAAGTAAAAGCATTTTATAATTTTGCCTTCAAAACAAATTTTCTTTTTGTTATAGTTTTTCTAATTTTTTTTACTTCCTAAAATACTAATAACTTATTGATAATTTTTTAAATTTATGTATTAAAGAATTCAATGGTAAAAGGTCATAAAATAATAAAATGTGTCCAAACCGTAATTTTTCCCTTTTTCAAAGTTTTTATAAAAAGTTGGTTTTTTTAATTTGTATCAAAAAAATTATTTTATTTTAATTTAATGTTTCTCAAAAAATTAAATACAATTTTATAATAATGTATAAATGAGATAATAATTACAAATTTCAAACTCTTAATTAAAAGATCATTAAACTGTTCATTTACATATTATTCACTATGATTATTTACTTTAATTATATTTTTCAAAAAATTAGATTATTACTTTAAATTAAATATTTTTTCAAAAAATAAATTATTCTATAAACATCTTCTTTTGATAATTTTTTTAGTAAATAAGTTGTTTTAATACTCACTCTGTTCTCTTTATTTAGAGAAAATTTCTTTTTTGGGTATATTTTTTATATAGAGAATTTTACTCTAAATAGTAACTTTGGGATGCAAGCTAAGTTAAAAAGACTAAAAAGCTATTGGAGTGTATGTATTTATTTTAAGATTGAAGCTCGACAATCAAGGAAAGCGGCAAACACATATATTTTCAGCATTTAATGCACGCGTGTTTTAAGGGACAAGTTATCAACTCACTTTTTCATTTCATTTTATAGCAATCATTTTTATAAATTTGGCTACAAAATTAAAGTTTTGATATTGAAAGTCAAAATAATAGCCATATAAATATAAAGTTAGCTCTTATTTGTATGTTTGATGAATATATGTTCACTTTTATCATTGTAAATTTAGCTACAATCGTTGACGTTAGAAACGAATATATATTATGCTCAGTTAAGTTCTGAAAACAACCACGTTTTGTTTTTAAAAGTATGAGTGTATTTTGATTATTCAAAAAAGGGAAAAATTAAAGTTTGGTTAGAAACCATTCTCTTGAAAACCCCTAAAATTCACTCTCTCCTGTAACCACATTTTTGTGGCCTTATTATTATTAGTTGTGTACTTTTCAAATCTTTATAATGATTGTACTCTTTTGTAACCCACTTATAATGGTTGTACACTTAGTGGGCTTTTGTTTTAGTACTTGTGCATTTTTTCAATAGTTTTGATTTCTCTGTGTTAGTTGATGGTTGTGAACTTATTTAAACCATTTTGTGGCCTTTTTATTATTAGTTGTGCATTTTTGTAAGCCATTTTGTGGCCTTGCTATTATTAGTTTTGCACTTTTTCAAATCCTTATAATGGTTATATTCTTTTGTAACCCACTTTATGACCTTATTATTATTAGTTGTGCACTTTTCAAAATGTGAAGTTGTCACACATTTTGCTAGATTGTGCACTTTTTTTAAAAAATTATGCCTTCAAACTCACACTAAAACTCAAATTTTAGTACTCACTCTCAAATTAAAACTTGTTAAGAGGCCAAATACAGTAATTGTCATTTTTAAGAAAGATGTAAGTATACGAATATAAATTGATAAGACAAGATAACAAGATTACAAATTGAGAAGACAATTTGTCCACAAATGAAGCAGAAGCGCCCAATTCAGCGGCTAGGGCCCTAATAATCATGCGCCTTCTAAAGGGTATTTCCTTTATCCTATCAGTTGAGATATGTACTCTTTTTTTACCTCTATAGTTGAGATATGTTACTCTTTTTTTTACCTCTTATTCAAAGGAACATTTAAGCTATTAGAATTAACTTCAGATTCATTCTGCCATTCGCCATATCTTATAACTGTCTTCAACTTCACACACAGATATGCAAAAGCGTTCCGCAACTTTTTCATAACTGTACTCGTTCAACTTACCATCTTTCAACTTTCAAGACAGAAGCATGGTGCCAGAGGATTTTTTTGCATCAATCCAGCTCCCATTTTTTTTTTGTTCTCCCGTTTCTCATCGTCCTCAGTTTGCTTTGAAACAAAAATAATTGAGGTCAACTCATATTTAGACAACCGTAGTCTTTCCTACTTCATTAGTTTATAAGATTCAATCTGGAGGATGCAAAGTAGTGACCATTTTTGGATATGGTATGACCGTTTTAGACTATTAATGGACTGTGAAATAGATTTTCTAGAATTAGAAGATATTAACTGTGATTTCAATTTAATATGTGGCCAAAGTTTAGAAATCAGGAGTTTGATTATAAACTCAAAAAATTGGCTTCAAATTCCCTATTTAATTTTCATTTTGGCCGCAATGTATTGCATTTGGACACTATTTCTGAATTTCATTTTATAAATTTGGAGAATCAAATTTTTGTTTTTAATTTAATTTGAATTGAAAAACTATTCAAAGTTTTAAACCAAGGTTAAGAGAGCCGAAATTTAGGTTTCCTTCCTTATTTTTTGCTGAAAATTTTGGAAATATATGACTTTAATGAATAAGTTCAAAAATTTTTGCCTTTAATTCGGGCACCAAATTTTTTTCGTTTTTGAGGCAACATAATTAACGTAAAATGTCCCTTAATTCTAATAAAATGGTGAATAAAAGTTAATAAAGAAGGTTGGAAGTGAGGGACCTAAATGTTTGGCCCAAGTAAACAATAATGCAACTTCTGGGGAACTAGACCTTTTGGTGTCGGTATTGTTTTCATAATTAAAAAATGAAGAAATGAAAGAAACATTTTAGGGAGAAAAACTTTCACATAAAACTAAACTTTCTTAATCCAAAGCTTTTTTTTGTTTTCTTTCAAATAAAGGGAAACAGATGGTAAAATAAAATTTGATATATTAAGATAATTATTTTATCTCTAAAAAAAAACTTTCATGTTTTATAATTTGTATTGAAAAGGGGTAATTTTTATTTCACAATAAGAAGTAACATTTACCATTTAATATAAAAATTAAATATTCTATAAGTCATTAAGAGCTATTTTGAATCTAAAGGTTTATAATTTTAACTATTTTAATCTAACGTACATAATTTTGTATTAATACTATTTTTTAATACATGATAATGATAGTTTTACTATAAACCTTATATTATCCTTTTTTTTTTTTTTCCATGAATGGTATTATATTATTAATTAAGAAATAAGCCATTTGAGAGAATAAGTACTCTAATACACGAGGGAAGAGTATCCAAATGCAAAAGCCAGCTTCATTGCATCTTTCTCTAAGCTAAGCTATGGGTATCAATGTTTTACTTGACTTCGAAGTCTAAGAAATTTATCAATTTCCCATTTGACCTTGAAAACCATTGAAATATCTTGAAAATTATATCCTAGTTCCAAAACATTAGTCGTAAAAACTGCTGGATTGCATTGGCCACGCATCCAAGGAATCTGTCCTCGAGGAGAAGGGCCAGCTTATTAGAAGATAGCCAATTGAAGCATATGACGCCACAGTAAGAGCCTCTGCCATGGTTGAAAAACAACAACGCTAAGAGACAACCAGAAATAGCTCTGAAAAATTGACCACGACTAATCCCTAAACAACA